GCTAATGTATGTGGAGAGGAATTTAAGTAGAAGAGTTTAAAATAGATCTGCATTGCTTGATTTTACCCAAAAAATACAGTATAACAAGGACCAGCCAATTTACTTGATATATGTCGTGAAGCATAAGTTGGCTAAATTTTCTCAAGCACAGCAAAAGCAGGAGAAGGAACAGTCGCATCTACTCCTATTGTAGAGTTACATGGATGACGTGGAAGCTTTTACGCGACATGAATGTCTCAGAGCGATTTATCAAAACGACAGCACGAATACACCATATTTAGCGGTACACTGTCCCTAGAAGTGGAAGGGATTATAACTGAACTACAATAGAAATTTATGTCGAAGAATAAAAAACGCAGAGAAAAGTGCGAGATCAACTCTATTTGTCCATTACAATCGCAATACGTTGGAGCATTGGGACACCTGCAGACTAGGTAAGTAGTTAAAACTCAGAGTCTTCACTTCAATGCCTCGTTTATTTGTGTGCATAAAAGCCTTTTGTAATCCATTCAATAGTTATTATAGACTAATGCTTACTTTTAACAGTTATAATTGTGATAGTTGTTGTAGTCTGTGTACGTTTGTGCTCACTTCTGGATCGTCATTCAGAAATACATCGTATAATAACGATTAAATAAGCAAATGCCCCAAGAGTGAAGCGAAATAATTCGGAGCATTATCTTTCCTAAAAGGTTTCAACACTAGGAATAAAAAAACCTGTAGTTAGAGCAGTTTATTGTAAAAAATGCACTTTGTCATTTAATTAGCTTTCCCCTTACACAAACACAACTTAATACCCACTGACGTTACGTTGACATGTAGAACTTCCATGTATCTAGGACACAGCCGGAAATGAATATGTCTCCTCACAAGCAACTCAAAATCACTAAACATTGATACCAAGATTTATTTAAAGATGCTATAAAAAGAGCATTCGAGAACGGTTGATGAAACGCGAAATGCATCAGGAATGCATACATTCCTGAATGCATTCAGGAGTGTTTCCTGAAAAACGGTCGCCAGATAACGAGATGCCTTGCTGACCAAACATCAGTAACTAACAAAACATCGTTCAACGCGTAGTGTTATCAACCATGATATAGTTCTATCAATAAGGACCTTTTCCACAGTGATGGAAAAATGTCAAAATGCAACCGCGGTTGCATACCTTGATTTTGTAGCTCGTACTGTTATGGGATAACGAAGAACGCAATTCTGCAACAAGAACCTGGTGACATTAATTCCAAAGGCACAAGACTGGCCACCTATCATATAGTCAAGTCAAGTCAATTTATTAAGGGAAATATAGGCAACCGCCTTTGAACTCCCTATGGTGAATGCTAGTTAATACGTGCTAGTTATGTGATGTATGAAGGTTAAAAGG